CTTTTTTTTATTTAAAAGCTTTAGATTTAACAAGTTTATTGTATAATTTTTAAATTAATACTATGTTTATTTAGCTTTTTATAAATTTTTAAAAAGTGTCCACAATACTATGCTAGGGCACTGTATTTATTATATTAAACTTTACTGCTCTTTTCGATTTAGTTGGATCGACGATCTGCATAATTTTTTTTTGAGTCCCTAAGAGTATCGCCTCAACTTCGTCATATTTTGTAGGACTCATTTTAGAATTCTTATATTTCCCTTTTATTAATAAATTAATTTTAAAAAAATACGACGAACATAAAGTAGTATTCACGGGCTCACGGGACTCAAAAACCTTTATTCAGATCGTCGATCCAACTAAATTGAAAAGAGCGATAATTACATCCTACTACAGAATACTAACTGAGAAGTTATTTATTAAAATCATATAATTGGCTTAAATTATAACAAATAGTTTATTCCATCGTCATGGTGAAATACAGTGTATGGGTCTTTATGGCTTTTCCCATTAAAATCAACTCGCTTAGCTATTATATTCGACGGAGTATCGTTCAAGTACTCCACAACAGGGACCTGCGGATTTTGTAATTTGCTGTGATCGAAGCAAATCACAAAAAGCATGTGGTTTACTGCGATTTACTTTGATTTGCTTCGATTATAGAAAATGCACTTTTCAAGTATACATGATGAAATTTTTAGCAAATATAATAAAATATTTAATATTTCAATAGTTCAAAGAAATAGAAATATCATGGGCTGTGCATAAAAACCAAATTTTTTTTTAGTGCAACATCTTTTTTTTCAAATTTGCAAGTTTTTTATTAGATAAATTTATAAATTTTATACTAATTCGGACTTTTATTGTTAATCGCAGTAAATCAAATAATTTGCTGATATCGAAAATATAATTTGTTAAATTATCTCACAGATTCCGCAGGTCCCTGCTCCACAAGCACATTACAGCTACGACAGCGATGACCACTCAGAGTATTATCAGGAACATTTTGTATGAAAGTCAAATATTACAAGACTATCTCTGGATATATTATTATCCGAGTCGCAAATCCCAATCACAGGAGGAAACGTTGATGTTACACGACTGAACCTTCACCCGGTGTGCAACATATAAAAAAATTAGTTTACAATACCAGATCATTCCGCTAGTACATTTTATGACTATAATCTCACAGCATTATATTATAATAAAAAATGATGTGGGATAATAATCATGAAATGTACTAGCGGAATGATCTGGTATTGTAAAAAATTTTTTGCACACCGGGTCGGGTGAAGGATCAGTGTAACATCGACGTTTCCTCCTGTTCGCTACTTATGTATAATCCCGGGGTCACAAATTAACCCATGACCATCAAAACGTATCATTTACTTTCTATGGGGTCACGAAAGATAAACAAACAATTTATAATGTTCAAGGTATCAAACAATAATCATGTTAAACAAAAAAAATATTTACTACATTGGAATATAGATAGCAATGGGTATTATAATATGGTGCTATAATATGTAACGAAGGAACTTTACAATTAAAAGCAAATTTTACAAGATTACAATGGGCATATAAGCTATGCATTTCTAAAGAAATTGTTAATATATAATAATAGAATATACTTTAAGCCGTTAGTTGATAATATTGATAATATTTCTAGATTTTGTTTACGATTCTTCTTAATATTAGATCTTTTCTAGGATGATTCTACATTATTAATAATAAATAAGTATATAAGATAAACAATCTTGCGATTTATTTTTAGAATTTTCTCGAAGTGATGTGATTTGTCATTAGGATCAAAAATCATACTTGAATATTTTATTAAAAAATTCATTATACAGTACTAGGTTTATAAATTTTGAAATTAATGCTTTGAAAGCTTTTTGATAAATAAATACATGTAAAATGCAAACGAATCCAATTAGCTTTTGTCTTGATAAATGAATTTTTCTAAATGCTTAACAAGTTCTTTTAGAAGAAATGTAATAATCATGAATTAAAGACTGAATGAATGATGCATCTTGGCTTTCCAATAAAGTTGCTTCTCTGTAAATATACATTATTAGGTTTCTTTGTACCAATACGCACTTTAAATCGTTGAACAGTAATATTTTAGATCATTAACTCGACCAATATTTTATTACAATCAACGTTTCGAAAATTGACTTTTAAAATGAGAATAATGTTAAGTTAGCTTGTGGAAGATAGAAAAATGTGATTTAAATATTATAAAGTGTTTATGCAAAAAATATGAGAAAAGACTAAATTGAGACGTTATTCAATTTAAGTTGATATTAGGAATTTCTATGTTCGTATGGCAATAAGAATCTATGATTGATATTGTAAATATATATATATTTGCTAAAATTAAACCACTTAGCAATATTGATAATGAACCAATTATTTTAATAAAAAACGATTATATTAATGAATTTTTAATCTGGGAAATAGTTTAACCGGTCATGTGGGTTCGCTATCGTGACGAAATAAAAGATGGACAGGGACCTTCTTTTTTTATCATAAAGCTGGCTGATCTGCTAAAATTTAATATCCGCATTTCGAAATTTATTAAATTAATCTTAGTAGTGATACACGACCTCGATCATTAGCTAATCACATAAAGAGATGCTTGAGAGCATTCTTAAAATGTGTCAATTTTTAAATTTTCAAATTTTTGTATAGTAGTAGCTGGATGGAACCAGTAAAATTCGTGAAATGATAGTTGTTGTAACAAAGCACTACAGATTAAGATATCCATGGAGAATTTTGTATGCACCGGAAGACTCCGATCACCTACAGTAGTATCCAATTATTTAACGTGTTATTAAAGATTATACGTTGCACTAAACTATATTATCTAATTGGTTAAAAAACCATGCAGAATGTTATGTTCGTACGTATGTACGTACTACCATCATAAAATTAAGCTCAGGTAAATTACATAGCACAAGGTATATTAAAACTTTGTTTATTAGTGGTACGTAAATAACTCTTGCTAATAAATTAATATTATATATATTTGGCAAGGATTCATGTTCTTTAATCTTTTTTTCACTCTTTTATCATACTTTATATTATTTAATTCATTAAATTTATTTAATAATGGGTAGCGAACTTTCAACGACATTAAGAGCTAAAAAGTATAGAGTTATAAATAATGAAGACACCGACGTTAATAATGAGCATGAAATGACTGGTCGTAAATATACAGTATCGAGTACTAAATTTCCAGTAGCTGATTATAATTTAGATAAAGAATATAGTCATGTTAGTTGTAAACAACATTATTAAGCGATTTTTTTTTATATATTTTTATTAGACTGCGTTACTTATTTGTGTCTGATTTCATTTACAAATATTAAAAATTATTAGCATGAATTCTTCTTGAAAGTCTGGGGCTCGAACTTTTTTTCTCCAATCGAATCTATTTTAGAACATGGTGATGCCAAAGTCCTTGACGTTGGGTAAGCTTTATACGTATCACTTTAGGGTTGATATTTCTACACATATTTTTGGTATTTCTACACCTTATGGTGCGATGTGTTATGTGCCAATGTGACAGTGATACCAAATA